TAACTTGGAGTGCTGGTTGGAACAGCTGAGGAATCATGTCGAAGCAGGGACCTCCAGGAGGGAGCTTTTGGATTAATTCCTGGTCCTTCTAAAAGCTGTGAAATACGTGGCCGACTCTCTGGCTGAATCTTTCAGGGGCCAAAGCATTGATCAACTCGGCTAGAAGAACCATCTGGCTCAAAACCTGGTCGGGAGACTCAGCTTTTAAGGTAAAATTATGCGGCATCCCGCTTCATGGGGACCTGCTCTTCCGCCCAGATCAGGATTCAGTGCTGGCTAGAACGGCAGATAAGAAGGCTTTCCTGTCAAAAAGTGATAAGCAACCAGTCAGAAGGAGTTTTCGTCCTTTCACAAACCCAAAGAAATGGGGAACAGACCAGAAAAGAAGTTATGGTGTCCAGAGAAACAGGGATAAAGGAGTGCTCTTCAGACCTCTGGAGCGGCCATCTGAGAGTCAATGACGCACACCTCCCGGTGGGGGGGAGGCTTGGGGTCTTCTCAATATTGGAGGAAGCGACTTCAAATGCTTTCATCAAAAATATCGTGTCCCAGGGGTACGGCTTCGAGTTTTCCCGGACCCGACCAGTCTCCCAAGGTGTCGGGAGATGGCCTTAGCAATTACGTCCCTTTTAAAGGACGCGTGCTCCAAAGGGATAAGGCACTGCAAAGTGTTTGGGAAGCACAAAAGAGGCGACCCTGCTGAAGAACTTTACATCTCTCCAGTTGTTGATCCTCCCATCTCCAGGCTTAACAAGACCATGTGGATTCCTGTGGAGAAATCCCCTCTCCTTTATGGACCCTGCACATCTCAGGGCAGAGGTGGTGGCCTGTTCGATGTTCACTGTTGCCGGATTGGCACTTAGGCTGTTAACTACGGCCATGGTCTCCCAGACACTGACAGAATGGGCCAAGGCTCTACGACGTGGTTTGACTTAGTCTTTTGCCCCAAGCATATGTGGAGCTGGCGGACCATTTGTTCCAGGGCTTAAAGTACATTTGTGACGCCGCCCTTGTTGATGTAGCTCCTCTTCCTTCCAAACTGTTCATCTCAGCTGTTGTGCTCCGGTGGTTCCTTTGTGTTCAAGTGTTGGTCGGCAGACCTGCCCTTTCTGGGCGACTGGCTTTTTGACACTACCCTGGATGACATCAAGAACCTTACAAGTTCAAGGTAAAATCTATTTGCTCAGTGGTGGCCTGCCTCCGCCGGGGAGATTTCCTGGTCATCAAGAACGCTTACCTGCACATCCCCTTTTGTGAGGGGCATCAGCAGTTCCTTTGTTTTGCCATCGGGGATGTGCATTATCAAGTCGTGGCATTGCTCTTTGGTACTGGCAAATTTCATATAATTTGAAATATTGGCAAATTTCACATATTTGAAATACAGATTAATGGAAATATGTACCAAGACATTCTTGATAAAAATCTGCTTCCATCTACCAGGATGATGCAGATGAAACGAGGGAGGACATTTCAGCAAGACAATGATCCCAAAACACAAAGTCAAGGAAACTCAATTGGTTTCAAAGAAAGAGAAAATAAATCTGCTAGAATGGCTCAGCCAATTATCTGACTTGAACCCAATAGAAAATCTATGGAAAGAACTAAAGATTAGAGTTCACAGAAGAGGCCCACAGAACCTTCAAGATTTGAAGAATGTGTGGAAGAATGGGCCAAAAACATACCTGAGCAATGCATGTGACTAGTTTCTCCATATAGGAGTCTTGAAGCTGTCCATTACCAACAAAGGATTTTGTATGAAGTGTTAAATAAATTTCAGTTTTGCATGTTCAATACTTTTTTTTTTTTTTTTTATCCCCTGTGTGATTCAATTGCATTAGACAAGTTAATTTCTGAACTTATTTGTTTTGGTTTCTTTGTATGTATGGATTGCAACTGACTTAGTGAAAATTTTGTGTCAATAGCACCTTTTAGAAAATTTAGATTTTTTTTGTACTTTCCTCAAAATCCCTTTCTCGGAGTTCACGGATTTTACACAGCGACTTCTTTAACCTTAACGAAGCAGGGTTTTATAGCCCCACCTACAGGAGTAGGACACTAGGCAGTAAAAAAAAAAAAAAAAAACTTGGCACCTTTTATGAGCAGTCTTCTCTGGGCATAAACCCTCTCTCTGCTATAGGTCTCTAGTCCGTCACAAGCAGTGTCAAAGGAGAGATCTCCCTATAGGGATGGGTGCTGTGTCCATCAATTAACTTCGAAAAGGGGATTTTACGGCGCGCATAAAAAAAAAAAATCACATTTTATATTAAATTCATTGACATACACAGCGGCTTCTTTAATCTTAACAAAGCAGGGATGTCCCCAAGTAGTGCCAGAATGAGGGGAGGGCAACCGTACAATGTGAAAGAACCCCCAGAGCAACACGCCAACACTCCAAACTTTTTCCTACACCTAAACTTATAAAAGAAACTTACCCGACTTGATCAACACAGCCCCTTTACGGGAGGGCGGAGACTATCTATGGCGGCATAGGAGAGCACAGAGCGGGTGCTCTCCGAGACCTCTACACCGCACTAGATGCCTGCAGAGATCTTAATCGGGGACCTACCTGAGAGTGGTGGGGACCAGAGGGGAGTCGGCGGTCCTGAGAACGGGGGGAGAAAACGGGCCTTGACAGCGGAGCTCGCAGGAGGCCTGCAGGAGGAAGTCCGACTTGAAGGGCGGGGCTGCTGGGAGAAGACGCGGCGAGACCACGTCGCAGCCGCGGAGGAGTGCTGGGTAGGGGAAAAGCCGGTCGCCGTCCGAAGTGAAAGGGAGGGCGCCGGTTCGCTCCCTCCAGCACATGGGTGGAGTTTCCTGTGGGTGGCCTGCTCCTCTTGTGGGACAGTCCTGTGCACGGAGAGACGGAGGGGGAGCGAGCCCCTGGATTTCAAGAGACTTGCCCGCAGTGAGCTGGGAAGGAGCAGCCGGGGTTGCCAAGGTGACGGAGAGGCGCGGCGTGACCACGGGGTCAGCCGCGAAGGAGTACTGGGAAGGGGAGAAGCCGGCCGGCGTCCAGGGAAGAGAGGGAGACGCTGGTCTAATCCCTAACCCGAAGTCCAGTCGGAACAGCATCTAGCCATCACCCGACAGAGGGCCACACAAGACAAGAGGAGACCCTGAAGGAATCCCCCCCAAGAGAAAAACGGACAATTTTAGACTGGGGCAAGCTCACAGTAGAAGTGATCGAAGGAGGGTGAGTGAAAATGACCCTGGGTAACTGTATAATGGTCTGGACTGTGGGGTAGAAGTTAAAACACTCTGCATGGGAGAAAGGGGGGATTCCTAGGGGGATATGAAGGAGTGGAAGAAGAAAAGGAGCTAAATGGCCCTAGAAGAAAAGGAAAGGAAAGTGATAACGGATAACTAACAGATTAACATTGACTTCCTAACATATATTTAAGGGAAAGGAGGGGGGAGGGAGAAAATAAATAAAAAAAGTCCCCCCCCCCCCCCCCCCGGTTTGGTTTGGAAAAAATAAAACCACAGAAGATATGACGAGTAAAAGCGCTAAAGGAAGTGGGCTTAAAGGGTCCCAAACGGGTACGATTAAAAAATACACGTCTCAGGGAAATGTGACCCCAGAAAGGTCCCAAGGAGGAAGTGAAGAAGGGGAAATGGAATTTAGCCT